ATGTATTCTATATACCTCATATATATATATATATCTATATATATATACGTATAGCACACTCCTATGTATGTATTTGCGGTGACCACCGTCAAAAAAAATTAGGCGCCGTTTCGAATGCATTGAGTGTTGTTTCGGTCAGATATTTTCTGTTTACGCGACCTACGCGCGGTAAGCATGAAAAAAAACTCATTAGCTGGGCCCATCGGTTATGAACAACGAGCAGCCCACTTATCATGGAAATAGGTGAGTCCGCTCTAAAGCCGTTTTTTTACATGCGAGGATTTTGAACAGGAATTTACTTTATTGATCCGTCTTCACATGTTTTTTCACTGTCCGGATCCCAGTACTTTTAGTATTCACTTCGTTCTTCCCGGAAAGAGTGAGATCTGGGTTCCAATCCCGACTGGACGCAAATGTTTTTGCACCAGCTCTCACATTATCGGGTACATGTCAGCACAAGTGGGTTCAATGCCGATAGCGGCTGCCCGCCAACCGTTGCCCCGCCAACCGTAGACGGTTGGCTGTTGACAGATGACGCATTGTAGCGTAAAAGAGTGCTGTGCACAACGAGCGTCGGTGGTGCAACGGTTAGCATACGCTCCCGGAAAGAGTGAGATATAGGTGCGAATCACGGCTGGCGCAAATGTTTTTGCACAGCACTCCACATTAATGGGTATACTACTAAATCATACCACCGCAACAAGCGGTCAAACAAATGAATTCCTATCAATTCGTTCTTTTTGTCTTCTTCTTGAATGTTGTAAAATGCTTTTTGAATCCTTGCAATCTCGATGGTAGCGTTAGCTGTGGCGTTCCCACAGGACGTTTGTTGACTGCCGGAGAGAGTTAGGGGTAGAGCTCGGTTCCCACAAGCGCCGCGACCAGCATAACAACCATTCGGCCACGGCGCCCTTTCTTCATATTGTGAGAGAAGCCGATGTTCCGAGCGATTGTCTACATCTTAACTTTGATTTTCTTAAATAGTGTATCAATTCACGTATGTGCTTACCTAGGATTGTTACAGATAGCTAAAAACGATGCTCGAATAAAACTATACGCAGTCACAAGCAATTGATCGCAAGGCTGAGGTGAGATTACTTCTCTCTCAGTTCGATGCAGTTTTGCCCATTTGAAATCCATGCTGAACATCGCCGACACTGCGGCACTTATTTCTTGTATTCTCATGTGTGGTCTTTGATCGGATTTCAAGATGTTTTGCCTATCTTGATTTGCATATACCCAAGAGAATTGAAAGGGTGAGCAAAAACACTGGCCTCAGGAAGGGAATCGAGCCCGCGCTTTATCCAAATCGGGGTAGTGGCTGATAGCTAACATAGAGATGTTAAAGAATGAGTGATAGTGCAAGTGCGCCTAAGTGATGTAGTGGTAGTAAGCAAGCGTTCCCCAGTATGGATGAAATGCGGGTTCGATTCCAGCCTGGGGCCGTGTTGTTGCCCATCACTCAACTCTTTTAGGTATATACGAGGCATCATAAGACTGCGAAAAATGCAGTAAAAGTACTAGAAAGTTTCGAGTAATAGATATTACAATGGCTGTCAGCTCAACTGGGCTTATAAAGCGAAATCGCACACCCGACCAAACCTGTTAAAAAGGTTGGTAGCTGATAACCAACTTAGAGCTGATCCCGTGCCTTCGAGTGCTTTATCTTTTTATAGTCAGTCTCTCTCGGAGAGCGTTACACTCCATATAGAGAGTGTGTCGGACAACGTACTTTTACACTTTATGTTCAGGCGAAATTTTCACCTAACTCAGAGTGTTTTCGCACTCGATTGCTCAGCTGGCCCACAGACCACATGACATTTGGTGACTCAAATAATCAATGAAAAAATAACCTAGAGAATGTTGAAGAGTAAGTGGTGGTCCAAATGTGCTTCAGTGGTGTAGTGGTAGTAACACATGTCCCCGGTATGGATGAAACACGGGTTCGATTCCCGCCTGAGACCGTGTTTACTCTCACCACTCAATTCTCTTACGTATAAACGAGACATCGTAACACTGAGAAAAATGCGAGAAAAATACTAGAAATTTCGAGTACAGTCTTGCTTTGTCGAATATTCTTTGGAGCCTTTGCATAGTGTACTAAGTCCTATTGTCCTCGAATGCTGAATGATTTCGAAAGTTTCAATCTTAAGCATAGTTCATTTTCGCACACATAGTAGCGAGTAAATAAGAAATTTTCGTAGATCATCCTTTATCAAATTCACCATGTGCTAGGTCGTCGAGATCGAGTTTGACTAGAGTGCGTTCAGATCTTACCGACAAAACAATGAAAATAGCGCGAAATCGAAGTACTGGCGATCCACTTCCATTTCACTCTGCTTGTTATCACTTTATTTGGTCCATATCACACTTTTTCAGTGCACAAATCCCAGTACTTCGAGTATTCAATTTCTTATGAGAATTGAATGGTGAGCAAAAATAGGACCTCAACCGGGAGTCGAACCTCGCGTTTCATCCATTCCGTGGATGTGTGCTACCACTACACCACGAGGTACATCCGTGCCACCACTTATTCTCAACATCTCTATGTTAGCTATCAGCCACACCTTTAACAGGTTTGGTCAGGTATGCGCTTTCCTTTTACTGGGTTTTCCAACCCTGGAGGCAACCGCGCAATGTAGTTCCCACTTGATTGCAAGAGAGCTATTCGTTACACAGTCAAACTTGCCCTTTGCTTCCCAATATCCTTCATTACCTACCACTTGGTAACTGCCTTCTGTTTTGAATTGCACCTTCTATATACATGTGATCATATTAATTTGTAAGTGCATGGGTGTTGTTGTAGTACGAGCGCATATTTACAATATATATATATATATATATATAATATAATATAATATAATATAGAATATATATAATATATGTTTATAATATATAATATATAATATGATAGTAATATATATGATATAATATATATAATACAATATATATAATATATAGATATGTATATATAAAATATAAAAAAATATAAGATTCTATATATATATATGTATATATTATATATATATTATATATATAATTTGTATATATACTCACGTCAGCAAGACTTTGATAAGATTCTGTTGCAGATGCCAGCGTTAATTATTGATATTCATCGATTGTTGTAAACATATAAGTGTCGGCTTGAAATGTATTTTTTTTTGTTTTCCTGCAGAAAAGAATTAGTGAAAATTTGCTTATAAATAATGTTGAACAGCCACCATCGTTCAACTATTTCGCTATTACTCTTCACAGATTACATACGGTTATCAGATCGTTTTATCATTTTATGTAAATACCGTTCTTATCACTAGTTGTTTAAAAGGAGATGACATTCCAACGTTTTTCCATACAAACATAGCTGATTGCGATCCACTGATGGTTTTAGACAAGTTCGGTGCCTTCGAAAGAAAAACAAGCGGGTTCTCCGAAGAAGCCCAACCTCCCCACTGGAAAAACACTGGGAAAGGTAGGCTGCTCTTGTTCATCGGTTCGTTGTAGCAATTCAGAAGAAATAAAGAACAAAACTCTAGATATCGATTATTACTTGAGTGATGTACCATGCAGTCAACTTCATCGATAATCATATTAGGTGTACAATTATGACTCGGCTGTTTTTGCTGTACTAATAGTGAAAATTAAGATATGCAAACATTTTGTTTGAAAGTGCTGTTGTGTATGTGCTGTTTATTCACTGCAACAGCTGTAGCTATACCATTGCTTGTAGTACAACAATAGTTTATAGTGAATTTATTGAATATAAAAGGGAGTCAGAGAAGAATTTAAAATTGCGTTTGCGAAATCTCAAGTGGAATTTGAATGAATAAATTGGTAAATGAACTAGCATCATTGTATGATTCAGTCAGTACTGAGATATGGAAGTTTTGTTTCATCATCACGGGAAAATTATTCGCTGCGGTTGGCTTTGGAGATATACGGTTAAGTACAGCACGAAAAGTATGAAAAATAAGAAAGGCTCGATTGGTAAGAAAAATACGAAAAGCAAGGAAAGACAACAAAAAATAACAAAGGAGTAAACCACATGCATTACTGATTAGGAAATTCCGGAAGAGAATGATAAATCAGTTCCTTCAATTTTTTCCATGCTCTAAGGAACAAAAGACCCAGAACATGAAAGTTTCTATTACATTTTCCTTCTATCCATTACAATTATCTACTATTCGCATTCTCAAAAAAATTTTGGAAAAACTCAAAAATCAAACAGCGAATTTAGTACTTCCGGCACTAACGCGTTAGATCTGAAACTTCCAGTGAATTAACTGATTTCATATTGATGTGATTTTCAGAATTTTGTGATACAAGCTTCAAATCTAAGAGCCATTCGCGATAATCCATCTAGAAGGTTTTCATGCGGAAAATTGCAAAATTCATTACATTTTGGTTTCGTGATATGATTTTTGTCGTGAAATTGCACGATCTCAGTATCGCTGAAGTGTGCATTTTCTTGCTGCGTCATTTTGGTATACAAATTTCCTGTATTTGCATTGAGATGGAGCTCCTACAACGCTCCATTATTTCTGTACTCCGCTTTACTAGCATGTTCACCTATGCGTCATTCGTGCATGAGTAGCTAGCAATTTTTTTCCACGGCAGCTCGTAGAGCAGGAGCAGGCAAGTTCTGAACCGAAATGCTTGCAAGAAAATGCGCAGTTGAACTATACCATAATCAAACAAATCTTATTATTTTTGTCGATACATCTGAAAGTAATTTTTCCGCACTGCTCTTTTCGTGTGCAAAAGTCGTTATCTTCAAATTCTTATAAAAGCCATCATCTAAAATATCTTTCTCATAAAAACGTAGAGATAAATAGCGTTTTTAGCGGCATTTTCGAAAAAAATTTCTCCATATCTTTCTTTTCTACCATTACAGCAGGTATTTGCACACTCAACATAAGTCACTGAGTGCTTATCTGGCCTGTACAATGACTCGCGGTAGTTTACTGATTTATCATGTCAGTGCTGCTTCAGTTCCGAACAAGGTCGGTACACTTCGCCGGCCCAGAGGAATGGAAGGCTTGGTGAGCCTTGGGTGGGTGGTTCGAAACAACGACAATTGTGTCACATAGCGCCCCTAACCACTGCGTCGCTCGCTCATTTGGCGGTTCTAGTTGTGGTTAGAGCTCAAAAGACGAACTAGTGTGTAGTGTGATCTATCCAGATTGAGGGAACAGAAATTGACGATTTGTCCCGTACGAAGCTACTGTAATGTAATTACGAACCACTGCTCGAAAAGAATTGAAAAAAATCGTTTTTTGCATAATTTTCAGAAAAACTGAATGTGCAAATTGACAGATAAACTCCCCCGATTTATAACATTCTACTTATATCAAGTACAGAATTAGCGTCCAAATACTAAGAAGAATTTTCTAACTATTTTTATCCTCGAAAGTAGTTATATTTTATTGCAATTGTGGCGATTTTATACATTTTGTTTAGGAGGCTACGATAGAAAAGAAGAGAAGAGTGCGATCCTGCAAAATCCTCATCCAGCAGAGAGCGACTGACGCAAGGTGAAACGGGTTGTGAATATATTCTAGTCACCTGTTATAACAATATTGCCCGCATCTGCTGAGAAACAAGAGGCAAAACATTAATCATTCAAAAACATCTGTAATGTGTGATGAAACTGCACTATGTAAAATCCAAAACCGTTTCAAATAACAATATTTTTCAAACTTGTTTAAGTTTTATATTATCTTGACAGCGGCCAGAAAATCTGAAAACGTCTTGTAGTGAAAGGAAGTTTCCACGATCTTTACATAGCAATTAAATTGCGCTGTGTCGTTGATTCGGAAAATTAGTAGTGAATGAGTGTCGTTATATTGTTCTCGAGGTCGGTTCTTTCTCAGATTGATCAGTGAATCCATGAGGACTACAACATGATTCAGTTGTCTTTGTACATATCAATATAAAATGAATATTTCAGAAAGACTTGGGACCGACATGAAACAAAAGCCACATATTGACAAGGTGAACTATTTGCTTAGTGTTATGCTCTCATCATTGCTTATATGAAAAGTAGCTTTGTAGATTTCTTGCCCAAGGAAAAAGAGGCTGATGCTATTTATGAACACTGGCGTCGGTGACTCCATTAAGAAAAACTGTGAAACCATTATACACTGTATATGTATAAATAGTATATATACACATAAATGCAATATAATCAACTGTGATAATAAGGTAGTGATGATATTCTATTATAAGCATACATATAATAAATGATTTAATAATATTAAGAATAATATTGTAAAAATAAATATAAGATAATAATAATGTAAGTATAATATAATGATATGTAATGATATAATATAATAATAATAATTAATAGTAATAAGTATATATATCACGGTAAATGATATATCGTAGTCAAACATAGAAATGTATAATATAATATATTAATATGCAATATATAATATATTAAAATATAATATAATATGCGATATATATAATATACAGCATATATATACTTTGTGTACATGGCAAGGACGTGTCCAAAAATCTGTCAATTTTTTCACATGTTTCAGTAGCACAGAAATTACGACATAAACATTCGTCTCGAGTGTTTCATTAAGACCGAGCTCAAATTTTCATATGCCTGATAATTTTTTTGAGCCAATGTGGTCGTGATGGGCACTTACACCATTGCCATAAACATGTTTTCGCGCCATTTATCGCTTATCGGCGTGTGTAAAACATTCGCCGGCGACTCCGGTATGTGAGAGGTAGACCCCAAGGAACTTAATGAACGAAAAGGCAGCGTGCAAGTGACGACACTGCAAGCCCAAAACACGTGTATTGCGCTGTAGATGTGTCCACAACAGGCCACATGCATGGATCAAAAATGTCAGCAGGCATATGAATACCATAAACAGATAAATTTGAATAATTAAGTTTTAGTTCAGCAATTTAGCAATGACACAAAAAACTTGATAAATTTTCAAAAATCGCTTCTTGCCTCAGTATATTCATGATATCTCGTGCGACAAAATTCCAATAATGCTTGCACACGCTCCCATCGTGATTTCCTGCCAACCGCTCGTCAAAGCCGTTTCAAACGCGTCTTGCGGTATCCGCAGCGAATTGCCAAGACTGTATTCCCTATTATTAGCCACGGAAAGTGATTAAGATCCGGCAAGTTGACGACAAAAATGTCGTTGACCCAAAAACCTGAAAGCAACTATTCACAGAGGCAATCCTTACAAGCGGGTACCGAATGTGCATGATCACAAGGTGCCTGCTGAAGCAGTCAGCACAAGTGTGATGCGCCAAAGCATCACTAGCCGTGAAACTTGCTGTCTGATACCTGACAGCGTTGATGTTTCAACGTTTCTGTTTAAGAAGAGCAGCGGCTTGTTTACTGGTGCCGTGAAGTGCCAGAACAGACCAGCTACCTGTCACCTGTATAACCGTCGTCCCGTGATCGTCGAGTGGCTCGAGCGGGTACCAGCAACTCTTCAATTTTCCCTATCGCGTGCAAGAGTAGCCCAGTGGGTC